AATTAAAAGTTATTTAAATACAGTAAGAATCAATTCAGTTTTCTTGGAACACCAGAATATTTGAGAAATGAGTTTTTTTTTCATGTAACAAATCATACATATGAGCACGTACCAGTCTACTTAAACTATACTGTGTTATGTACTTATATGTATGTGATGTGATAGAAAAAATCTAGATTTTTTTTATATGTTAAAGTAGAAACAAAATAAAAATGGTGGATTTTGATCTAATATGTTTTTTCCATTCTGGGTTTGCTCCAAATTAACTTCATAACTGGATGCAAACTATTTAATTTGATCACCTCTTATATAGGAGTTCAGACCATTTGAAAAGTGCAAGCTGAAATCTAGAATCCACATTATATTTTCTAAGGGCCTGTTTGGAACAAAGGAATGTAAAACGTAGGAATCGGAGAAAACACAGGAATATGAAATGAATAGAGGTGTAAAACAGAGGATTGAAAAATACAGGATTTTTATAGGAATTGGTGTTTGAAACACAAGAATACTAATAACATAGAAATCTATTGGTTTACAGTAAGCATAGTTGTTTAGAGTAAATGGCCCCGTTCGCTGGTCTGAACTTTGGCTGAAACTGGTTGAAAAACACTGTTCCGGCTGAATTGTTGTGAGAGAAAAACACTGTTCCGGCTGAAAAAACAAGCCGAACAAGCCAAACTTTAAGACAAGCGAACGGGGCCAATAAGAGCTAACTACTGCTGCTGTCTTTTTTCTCTTCCTCACTGCAATAGCAGCACCCGTCATCATGAGTTTTGATGGCGAGCAGAATGCTTCTTTTCTCCTCACTCGCCTTGGACTTCGCAAAACCACGGCTCGAAGTTGATGCTTTTTTTTTCGTGTTTTGTGAAGCACGCGATTCCTTTCCTCTGGAACGGCTGGCTGCTTTCCTCCGTTCCAAACGGTGTATGACGTTAGCAAAACAAAGGAATGAAATTCCTTTGAAATTCCTGTAAAAATCCTCCAATCCAAACATGCACTAAACAATATCTTGAGCAAAATATATGTAAAAAAGGCTAATATAATATACTTGGGCTTGCTGACGTCACCCTCCCAAACTCCTCTTTACTCTCATTTCCTTTCTCACTCATCTTTTTTCTCTCGCAGGCTCACCCTGCTTCTCACGAATTTAGGGCATGTTTTGAACACGGAAAAGAATTCATGTTCCTGTGTTTTTCCTGTGGAATTGAATTGATTCCTATAAAATTCCTGCATGATTCCTATGAACATTTTTCGCACTTTGTTCCCAAAACACTATGATAATCCCCTCTGCCTTCTACTGGATCCTTTTGAAACATATATTTCATAAAAGAGGAAGAACTGTACATTCCTTTTTTTCTGTATACTTTTGTTTGTCAGTTCGATATTTTCATGACTGCACTTTTTTTTTGCTTGAGTATTTCTTTTGTTGAGATCTTAAGTCTCATGCTATAACTGTCAATATACTCGAATATAACTATTCAAAACTGTGGCAAATTTGCAATCGCTTCAAAACTCAGATAACGGTTTGTTTGACTTGTTTCGCTGTTACCACTTACCAGAGCTCCTCGACGACGACGGCGGAGTCGGCAAGCCTCCGCCTGGTCCGGTAGCTGCGGTACACCTTCTGCAGCTTGGTCGCCGCGCCACTCCCGCCGCTCCCCGCCGCCATCGGACGAGGCAGAGCCGCCGCCTCCATTTCCTGACGACTTTGATCTCAGAAGAACGAAGGAACGAGCAACAAAGCAGCTTGGTTTGGTTGCGAAAGAGAGCTCGAGCGCGCGGCGCGAGGCAGACCACACACCACAGACCATATGATGCTACGTTGTGGACAGGAGGTGGAGCATCACATTCCCATTCGCGTTCGTTCTCGTCCTCCATCGCTAGCTCTCGGCTCAGGTCACGCTCAGAGCATATCATTCGTTGGTGCCGGCCGGTCGCTCTCGCTCCATGCCCGATCGGAGCTCGACTGCGCCGTTGGCCTGCGAATCACTCAGACGCGCGCAGCAGGTACGCGTGAGAGCATCGTGTTCTGTGTCGTCCTCAACCTTAATCCTAACCTGAGCTCGTGAAGTCGTGGCAATGCCATATGTTAGCGACAACTTCACTAAACATGCATGGATGATTGCCGTATAATTAATAAGTTGCCTGATTACTACTGGTTAGCTTGCCGTCTCGTTCTCGGGCGTCCGTCCCATCGGACTTGGCTGCCAGTCTTGCGCAGCGCAGCGGACCGGCCTCTCAACAACAACAACGACGACAAAAAAAACCTCACTCTGCTCATCTGTCCGTCGTGGCGTGCTGAGATTCCGAGCCGCTCATCCGTCTGCCCCGCTGCGCCCCCTTTCCCACCGCGTCCCATCCCCCGTCCCAGCGTCGCGCCGTGCCCTTCCCCCACCGCGCTGCACCCCATTGCCGGCTGCCCCCATCCCCTGCAAGCGAACAGCGCTGGACACGACTGCGGTCGAGCGAGCAGCGCCGCTGGAGTAGCAGCAACAGGGCCACACCGATAGGCGCGAGCCTAGGCCGCGAGCAGGCGATAGAGAATCGCAGGAGGGGCGTGCCACTGCTGCACCAGCGAGCTCCATGCGCCGCCGTCGACCTCCGGGCCGCCATCGAGCTCCGCAACGACGAGCGTCCATTTATCCAAGCAGCAAGGTGACATTGTACTGAAAGCACATGTTGCAGGTGTATGTTTCAAGTGTTTCAGATGTTTCAGAGGTACGTTGCAAGTGTTTAATGCGGATGTTGCAAAAGTAGATCGAGACGTTGCATATATGTTGCAATGGTTGTACACGTATGTTGCAAAGCTCGCTCCCCAATGTTTTGCCTATTTTTTCTAGACTTACGTTGCAAGTGTGCTTATTTGGATGTTCCATATGTTTTACACATACGTTGCAAGTGTTTTATCTGGATGTTGCGTATGATTTACAATGGTTTTCAAGTGTTTTTCATGTGTTTTTGTAAGTGTTTCTGTAAGTGTTTTAGATGTACGTTTCAAATGTTTCATCTGCTTTCAGATGTACGTCGTAAGTGTTTCGTTTTTAGTTCTATTTCTGCTCTAAATATGTCCAAATTTTTCCGTTCGTATCTGGGCCAACCTAACTCATGCGGGGCCCATGTCTGAGGAGCCCCTAATTTTGAACCGGGCCGGGCCTATCTGCTCGTCACGCACGGTCGCACCCTGCGCTCCTCCCCCAAACTGAATCCGCTCTGCTCCCTGCCTCGTCGGCTCCGGCCTGTTCGCGACCTGCCAGTCCCTCCTTGCAGCCGGCCGCTCCCAAATCCACACCATGGCTGGCGGTTCGCTCGCGCCAGGCCAGACTGGTGGAGCCCCGCCCGACCAGCGCAAGTGCAAGGCTCCGGCCCCCGCTGCAGCCGCGGAGGACGAGGCGGAGGTGGAGGAGCTGGAGAGCGAGGTAGCCGATCTGGACCGCCGCACCCTCGAGCACCTCCGCCGCACCGCCACGCGCCTCCCCGACGCTGCCTTCTCCCGCCTCGCCGCGCTCCGCCCTCCCGCACGCCTCGGTACGCCCCCTATTCCTGCCAGCCAAGCTACCGTGCCGTGCTAGGGTTTGAGACTGCTCCGCCCTCTTGTGTTGTGTGGCGGTGATGCTATTTGTGTGTGTTCCGTGGATTTGTTCTCGGCGGCATACGTGAAGAAATTGTCACTTTAGGGGGGATTAATTTTGGATACGCAAGGCCACCCGGTTTTGCGTGGTTACATTTGGGGAAGCCTTTGTTTATATATATTTGTCTAAAAGCCTATGACTTTGAGCGGGAGTAAAAATGAAGAGATTCATTTTTCCTGGCATGGCAAATTTCTGACCTATATTCAGAATCCATTGTTTGCCTATGGATGTGGTTTAGTGAATTTTCGTACAGCGCTCGGTTGTTAAATGGTACTAATCACCAATTTCCACTGCCTTTGCTAGTTGTGGCAATGCTAATACTCCCCCCCATTGCAATTATAGTTCACTTTTACTTTGTCCTAAACCAGGCTTCGTAAACTTTGACCAAGTAAAAATACACCAACAGGTGGATACAGGATAAAAGATCACCTATGAAATATGTTTTGATATTGCATTTATTTAAACCTCTAGTTTTACTATATTTTTCTAAAAACATTGTCGAAGTTAGAGAAGTTTGACTTTATGTACCAAGTTATGCTTGCACAGTTCAAATATACCTATCAAAATTTAAAAATGGCTAGTCTTTTACATCTGTTGTTGCTAGTTTGCCAGTTGCCACAATTCGCTTGTATTGGTCTGTTATAATTTCAGAAATTGAAAACTCCAACATTTTCAGAGACAACTGATGTTTCCCAGGCTCGGCATGCTTTGATTTATTATGTTATAGTTTTTTATTTATACCATAATAACTGCTAACACGTCCATTGATATTGCAGAAGTTCCAGTTGTCTCGGAAACATCAGTCGCCGAAGATGACCAAGAGCTTGAGAAAGTAAAGATCCTCAAATCCAAGATCAAAGCTAATATTGCGGATTTGCCCAAGGTACTTGAGCAAATAAATGAAACTGTTGCTCGGTGTGAGAGGTTTTGTTAGTATCCATCCTGTGTTTCGAAAGAACTGTTGAGTTTGACACATCTTGCATGAGACTGGCTGATTCAGCATTATGTGTTTAGGTGTATTGGATCAGAAAACATTGTATCTAAGTGTTGTAGTTTCGGCGCTGACCATTTTGTTGCGTGAAATATCGTAGCATTGCTATGTTGAGGAAGCTAATTGTAAGTTAAACCTGGAAGAGAGAGATCTATGGAGCAGAAGTATTTAGGAGGTCTTGCATTTTCTGCATTAAAGATTGAATTTCTGGTAGAGTGATAGGACACCAGGTTGCTCACGGATGCGTGTTTGTTCATGGCGTACTGCATGTGAAGTAATTATCTAAAGAAGATTGTGTGCTTGTTGATGGCTAGTTGACATCCTGACTTTTTAACTGAATTCAGGTGCAGAAAAAGTGTATATTTGTAATCCATAGTAACTCATTTCATCACGCAGACAGCAAGAACCTTTTCTCCCCTAGCTTCACCCTTGACCCTTGACGTGTGTGCTTTTTGTCCTGAAACGATACTCTCTTTAGAGCTGTACGTCAAAATACAGAGCACGAAGAAAACAGAATTCCGAGGGGAAGAGAAAACCTCTAGCGAGGCCCATCTTTGGAAGGAAAAGAAATGATTCCTAGGCCCGTCTGCAATGCTGGGCTCAGCACAAAGGCTCTCACTCTGCAGCCACCTGTGTTTGCTGAGGTCTGAGGACCCCTGAAGAAGTCTCAATGGTCAATGCAAAACAGGCAAAATACATCATGTTATGCTAAGGCTGCTATACTGGTGTGCTGACTTGAGAGTATACACCTTGTTCTTGATGAATGCATAGCGGTTTTATCTGATGGCCAGCAGACTACTGCTGAGCTCTGACTGATACATGTAATGCTGTGTTCATTATTCCATTTAGAAAGGATACAATATAAAGCAAGTTCCTTAACCACGGTAATGAAACGTACTATCACATCTGCTTCCAAGCTATCATATCTGAAATGTGACAGATTCTGCCCATAGCCTATTTCAGTTGGAGAACATTGCACTGTGCTTCTCTGAATGGAACCACAGGACAGCGGAGAAGCAGCATGGACAAACCAGGCATGTGATCTTTTCAGTGCTGAAAAATGATATTCCAGAATAGCAGTAACTGGCCAGCTGAAAGGTTTCGTGCTATTTGCGTGGCATAATAAGCCCTCGTTTAGTTGACTGAATTTGGATTTTGGGACTACTGTAGTAAGTTCGTTTTTATTTGGCAAATAGTGTTCAAACATAGACTAATTAGGCTCAAAACGTTCGTCTCACAATTTCCCACCAAACTGTGCAATTAGTTTTTATTTTCGTCTACATTTAATGCTCAATGCAGAGGCCGCAAACATTCGATGTGATAGATACTGTAGCAACTTTTTGGACTTTGGAGTCCAACTAAACAAGGCGTAAGCTACTCTAAGTTCCTAACTTGGCTGGGGCAGGGAGGCCTGAATTGACGCAAGCGGTGATGTTGGCGATGTGACTTTAGTGGGGGACAAAGGAGGCAGTTTCCTTGACGCCGACAGAGTTGATGCCCTTGGCGACAGATCCACCATCTCCAGTGCCTGCATCCGGAGCTCCATTGGGTAGTCCTTGACACATCCAATTCTCGGACCAGCCCCAGTGCTCCATTTAAGGGACAGCCTGTGCCCGAGCTGATAGGACTTGGACTCGCTCTTGGATTTCATCCTCTCGAGAATCGCCTTCTGGGGGACTTCGGTGGCTCTAGGGCTTTGCAGACCACCCGATAAGGTCCTTTGGTAGGTTGGCCTGGCTTGTTCTTCAGGAGCGTTGTCTCCCTCATTGCCTTCTGTGGTGTTTGGAGGGGGAACCACTTGTGGAAGATCTGGTTCCATGATAGCTGAAGTAAACTTCTGTGAGTCATTAGGCACTGGATCTTCGTTGTAGTCTTCTCTGGTGGATGAGCGCACCTGCGACCAAAAACAAAGCTCACTAAATGAAACCATCTACCATTGGCACGAGCATAATTTCAACTGTTAATGCTTAAGATAGTGTACCTCAACTTCTTTGAGGTCGACTCCATTCTCTTCAAGGAAGTTGATGAAATTGCAGAGGTTCTCTGCACTAGGTTTGTAGTGACCGCTGTACGCCCAGATGGACTTAATCCAGAACAAATAAAAGAATTAGCCAAGTGCATCAATGAAAAAGTACACTAACATGGTGTAATCAAAGTAACAAACTGAGATTGTTATATGCCGCATAGCTCAAAAGTAGAAGGATGCAACATAGTCATCTAGAGTCCACATCAGCTTGCACAGTGGTTGAATCAAGATAAGTAGATATCTGATGTGTACTAGACATTAGTAGATTCAGAAACTATAGTTACCAATAGAATGCCAAAAAAGTTGTGCAAAATATACTCTATACATGGATATCAATGTTCTGGTTTATATTTCATATTATATCAAATTGTTTTGTCGCGTGATGAGACTCAAATTTCAAAAAATAGAAAACCCTTCAATACGATGTCGGATGAAGATAATTTTTATATGTAAATTATAGACCTCGATGAGATCTACAACTTTATAGTTTTAATTTTTTTTCATTTGAGAACAGTAAGATGCTCGAAAAAATAATATAAAATTTCAGCACCATAATAATCGCCTACTAGCGCTTGCCGCATTAGAGCACTAATATATTATTTGTATGGAGTTAAATGAAAATACTTTTTATACCAAAGTTGTAGCTCTCAATGAGATCTACAACTTTGTAGTTTTGAGTTTTTTCATTTGAGGACGTTAAGATGCTTAAAAAAATAATATAAAACTTCGACGCCTCCCGAAAATATCAAAAGCTACTGTTCATACGCCAAAACCGCCCAGAAGGTTGAAAGTTGAACGGTTTCAAGAGTTGGAGGGCCAAAGTTATCCGGTTTTGAAGTTCGAGGTTGAAATCCGGACTTTGGCGAGAGTTGGAGGGTGTAAATTGGACTTTACCCTTATATCAATGTTCTGGTTTATATTTCATATTTGTCCTTTACAAACGGATTGTCAAAAATAGGTAATCATGTGAACCTATGAAACAGAAAAGAATGGTCTGGAGGATCACGCACAGTGAATGAATCAACTCATAGACACAAATAAAACTTTTTGACCAAAAGTAAGAATAGCACAAGCAGGAATACAACAAAGTAAAATACTGTGATACAAAACAAACATTCCAGTAGGCATTGGTCGCTAAAAATAATACCTTGATTACTCCATTTTCTGCAGTAAATCTTCCAGCAGCTATAGTTGCACCTCCTGCCAAAAAGCTGGAGTGCTGGAATACGCCTCTCTGTTTCTGATGGATATATAGAAATAGGTTTAGCAGAAGTAAAGTAGCGAAATGCAACAAAGGTATAATATTGTTTCAGCAGAGTGCAAAGTCATTGTAAGACAGTAAGAGCAGACAAAATACCTTGCCAGCATAAAGTTTTTTTGTTGTACTCATAACAAATATCCATTTAGTCCCCTTAGGACCCCTTGTATCAAGTGGTTCTCCAGACTGTTTATGGATAACTTTTCCCTCATTAATGATGTATTCATAATGCTCACGCTCTTGCTGCAAAACAATGGACAAATGTAGTTTTATTAGTCATCCAAAGAGTCTGTTAAAACTTAAAACAAACCCCTTTTCCTGTTGTTAACTATGTTTAACGTTGCAAAAAAAAACAATTGTAGTTTTATTAGTCATCCAGATTGATGAACAAATGAAATATAATGTGAATAATAGCAGGCCAGGGTGTGATTGGATTCCATTCATATTTCAGATGTAACAATAATGCAGACTTGAGGCTACATCAAATGCAGTTCATACATAAAACAGTTTTATTTTAGTCACTTGATGAAACATACATGTTTTATTTGATAAAAAAAATAAAGACAAACTTGGGGAAAAGTTTTTTTGTTAGAAAAGATAGTGATAATTACACCGACATGAGATTTTGTGGATGAAGTAAGTCAAGCCATCTTACTGCTCTTCACAGAAAAGTTTCAGCAAGGATATATGTCACAGACTCTAAATAAAGATAGGCAGCCGTTGGTGGAACGTATCTTACCGGACCAAGATACCTAATGCATTGCTTCTTTAGTAAAGCTCTTGGACATTCAGGAAGGTCTAGATCCTTTCCTTCTCCAACATCAAGCCTACATATGAACAAAAACTAACTTAAATTGTCATGCCATCAAACTGATAACTGAAATTCCAGGTATGAACAGACATTCCTATGGTAACTGAAATCTCTGGTACGAGTAGACATTTGAATATGTACATCTCTTTTCCATCTGCTGTGCCAATTGTGCTATTTTTTCCAAACAACAGAATTTGCCAATGTGATTATAGCTTCTGGAATTGCAGTGAGGTTCTTACCAATAGAAGAATGGCTGGCCTGCTTGGCTTTTGCACCATTCATCATAGTAGAAGTGCAGGTTGTGCCCATATCTATGCCGCGGGTCGATCTACACAGAACAAATGAATACAGCTATAAAGGCTCCATTGCAATCTAGCATTGCAAACAAATGACTATCACTGTATCAAAGAAACGGACATAACTTTTATGAGCTGAACAGGTGGGCATTTTTATGAACCATGTTCACACATGACTAAAGTCCAAGTCAATTGATAATGGAAAGTAGCCTCCTTTCACACAGACGCATAGGAACACCACCAAATCCAAAGCAATTGTACTAAACTAAAAGGCGGTACTAGTGGATTATTAGTACGATTATGTACTCACCGCTTCGATCCAGTGCTGGAAAGCCAGCTTGAGGGCCTTGCCGTCTCTGGATAAACCCTGACCCACCTGTTGCAATTGCAAGCCAGTGACATGAGCAACAGGAGTCAGGAGGGCTGAAGAAGTCTGAAGCAAATTGGTTTGTGGTGAACACGAGGGGCTTTTCTCTGGTAGTGGTAGCAATTGGGAGTTGACCTTGGATGCGTTGAGGCTGACGCGGTTCCAGCGCGAGGCAGCGGTCTCCGGCTTGGGCTCGTCGAAGAAGGAGACGGTGCTGTGCTCCAGGCGCGCGTAGTCCAGCGCCTGCCACCTTCATTGATAATCCCAATCACAAATCCTATCAGTCTCAATCAAAACTCTACCTCATCAGGGAAAAAGAAAACTCTTTTGTAAAGTGTAACCGATTTCCAACACCCGTAACGTAACATCAAGAACCAAATTTAGCCATGCCCCCCCACCCCCCAAGAACCAAATGAGTGGACTTCCGATGGAACGGAACGCAACACACGATCCAGCAAGAAGCAGGGAAAAGCCAATCCCCAAGAAGACCAAAGGGGGTCGCATGCCGCCGCTCTTGTTCAGCACCAAATCGAACGGAACAGAGGGGAAGGAACCACATGTCCACACCACCAGAGGCATGGGCCCCGGAGAGGAAAAGGATCCGGAGAAGATGCCATACCAGAGCTCCTCGACGACGACGGCGGAGTCGGCAAGCTTCCGGCGGGTCCGGTAGCTGCGGTACACCTTCTGCAGCTTGGTGGCCGCGCCATTCTCGCCGGCTCCCTTCACCGGCGAGGGAGGAGGCTCCAGCTTATCCGGCCTCGCCGCCTCCACCTCCATTCCTCTGAGATTGGGGAGCGAGGGTCCGACGCGCTAAACTTGGACCGAGCCGGCAATTAGTTCGTCCGCGGAGGCGGAGGCGGAGGCGGAGGGCGAGGGCGAGAATGGCTCTGCGCCCGGCACTCGTGCAGTGTGGGAGTTTAATCCGTGGATTAACACGCGAGCCGAGGCCGAGGGAATAATTAAAGGCGATTAGTCTAGAACTAGAACGGGGAGCAGGGCGGGGATCGGGGCATCGCATTCGCGGGAGGAACGGGAACCGGCCCGCGGATACGACGACGACGACCACGACGAGTCGTTCGCGCCACCTACCGGTTCTTGGCTCGTGTCCCGTGGCGGGGGGTGGCGCCATAACTGCGCGTGGCAGGCCCACTTGTCATCATGACGTGGCTGGCCCACTTGTCATAAAGTAACTAGCGCATGAACGAGGGGGAGCATATGAAACCACTAATTTTTTTTGCTTGACAAATTGCGGCTTCTTTAGATACATAGGGCCTGTTTGGCAGGGCTCTGGCTCATCTGAAAACGGCTCCCGCTCTGGCTCTTCTGAAGGAGCAGCTCCTCTGGAGAAGCTGAAGCCATTTTGGAAAATGTTTGGTAAAACAGCTCCTTCGCACTAGACAACGGAATCCATAGCAAGGAGCCGTGCGAAGCTCATTTTTTAGGCTTCTCCTGCGCGGGCAAAAAATGGCTCCGGCTCCCCATGCGGAGCCCTTTCCAAAACAGGCGTTTGATACAGCTCCTGCAGGAGCCGGAGCTTAAGCCCCTGTAGAAGCCCTGCCAAAGAGGCTCATAGCAAGGAGTTAAAATTGTTGTTGGAAGCGAAAGGTCCGTAGGCTAGTTACAAGAGTCTCGATACCACTTTAGGTTTCGGATTCGACTCTTGTGGAGCACATATTCCATAATTTAACGGTGTTTATGCTTTTCGTGGTAGGGAACGTTAACTTCGTCAATCTCAAAGATTTGCTAGCTCATGGATAGAATTTGCGTGCATGTGTTCATAGGGGTGAGTGTGCATGTGTTGTGAGCGTCTGCGTTGTACCGTGTAATTTAAAAAAATGTTGTTTGAAGCCGTACCACACTGGACTTTTATGTATAAATAACACAAGGGAGCAAATGAGTGATGGATAAAACAACATCCCTTATCGTATAGCACAAGCGAGCGATAGGTAATGTATGTAACTTTTTAAGTATACTGGTCATATATAATAACTCATCCAGATTTGTAAACGGAGTGCAAAGGTGTTTCGTCTTAAGGCCCGTTCTAATTAGGCCTAATGTTTGCACGATCTAAATTTAGCCACTAAATTTTAGCTCTTGATGACTAATTCTATAGAAAATAGTAGTAGTATTGCTATTATTTTCTATCTATATAAAATAAATAAGCTGGTACTAGTTATTTGTAGGAAAAGTCCAATTTACTCTCCTTAAGTTTGACATTGGTTCAGGTAACCTCATAAACTAATATTTAGTTCGATTTACTCCTGACCACTGAGTTGGTCTAGTTTACCCTTTTACAAGACTTGTTATCTTTGTTTCTGCATGTACTCTACCTCATATAAGTTAAGTTTTCACATCAATTTTTTTGAGGTGGTAGAAAACATTATGAGTTATTAGAAAAATATATTATTTTTATGCCACTATGTTAGTAGCTTAGGAAAATTATAATAAATGACACTAGAGATACAATATCATACAAAAAAATGATGGAAAATTCATAATGTATGGCAGGTTAGAGCTGCTTTGCCACTAACTATTGATTGTATGGGATGTTGTGTGGGTGTGTGCCTAGGTTACCGGTGTGTCCCTAGGATATGGATATGTCCCGTGTTGTGTTGAACTTCTCTTTTTTTTAATTGAGCGGCAGAGCTATTGTCTTTTTATTCAAAAAAATCACTGCTACAACCTCATAAATTTGAAACTAAAACACAATCTGTACATAGAGAGAAAAAGAAAATTCTTTTTAAAATATAAATTAGATCAACTGAAATAGTTGGAGGAAATAAATTGAACTAAATGTTAGTTTAGGCATTGGGTAAATTTGGAGAGAGTAATTTGGATTCCCCCACCCCCGGCGAGGGAAGACTGACCGAGTCAGTCAGGGACAAGGAGAGCACTGGCACGCGCTTGGCCTGCGTTGTGCGACTCGCTCGCTCCTTACTGGTGGCCCGGGTGAGGCCTCGCCGGAGCGTGTTTGACCGGCGCCCGGCCGGCGACCGACAAGACGTGCATGGTGCGCCGTGCCTGGGTCATGCATGCCCACCCACGCGGGGCAGCGGTCGCTCTCCGCGCCGGATCGGGACGGGACGAGGCTCTGGCCGCCGTCGCCGTCGTGGATTCGTGGCCGCACATTGACATGCGCGCAGCTACGCTGGCTCTTAGGCCGTGTTTAGATTGAGATTAGAAATCAGTATTTTGTACTGTAGCATTTTTGTTTATATTTGATAATTATTATCCAATCATGACTTAACTAGGCTCAAAAGATTTGTCTCGTAACTTACAATTAAACTGTGTAATTAGTTATTTTTTATCTATATTTAATACTCTATACATGTGTTTAAAGATTTGATGTGATAGAGAGAGTAAAAAAACTTATAATCTAAATAAGGCCATAGCTACTGGTGTGAACTGAATCAGCGTCCTCCATTCCATTTCCATCGGTCGGTCTGCATGTTGCAATTGCACGAATCATGTGGGTCCGTCAGCACCTCGCGTTATGCTAGGCTAGCCAGTAGCCACGGAGCGGATGCGCTGTCCGTGCCAGCCAAACAAATATTACTGTTTTCTTCTAAATCAAACACTATTATTTTTTACCGTTCTTTTTATAAAATAGTATAGTTTCACAGCATTTGAATTATAGATATGTAAATATTTTTTATAGTGAATCCAAAAATATAAATATTATGTTATGACCTTATCTAATATTTTTTAAACTGATGGTCAAAGGAAACGGAGAGAATACATCTTCCCTCTCAACATAAATACACTCGTAGGATTTTTGGGGAAAAAAATCAGTGTTACATGAAAACTACATACTTTACTCTCATCAAAAGCTGTCTCAACATGTTATGATTGCACTTTAGAAATAGATAAAGTAAAAAAAAAAGTAAATTGCACGGCCGGTCCTTAAAGTATTGAGTGGTTTTCATCTAGGTCACAAAACTATGAAATCGTACGTTTGGCTGCCTAATGTATTTAAGTGATCTCATTCAAGTCCAAAATAGACACGAGAAGGGTTAGAAGTTGACGTGGTGGTCACATGGACATGATTTGAACATAAAAACCCGAGCCGAGGGTCCACGGTACCCAGTGTCCACTTCCTCCTCCGCCGCCGACGGGGACGCCGCCATCCCGCTCGAGCGTGGAGGCTCTGAGCGGCCTCTCCGCCGCCATCCCGCCGAAATCGTCCGCCCGCCGACGAAGCGAGCCGGCCTCGGGGCGCCGACCGAGCGCGCACCCATGCCAACGACCACACCGCGCCGCGGATCCCGTCGTCGACATCTCCCCCTTCTGGGCGCCACCAAGCAGCCCGGCGAGATGGGGACGCGTGTGGAGGAGCCATGCGCGTGCCGCCGCCGGCGACCGGGCGTCATGCCCATCGCCGCCATGGCATCCCCGCCGAAGCTCATGGACCGCCTCCGCGCCGCCGAGCCGCCGTCTTCGCCGCCCTCCCCATCCGGACAAGGAGGCCTACGCCAACGACCCGCCGCCCGCCGGCCGCTGCGAGGCTACGATAGCCGCCTCGCCACCAACACCTCTCGGCGCGCGAGTGGGAGGACTACCTCTTCCACTGGTGCAACCCGATGGGCTTGTCGACCACGCCGCTCGCCCGCGCACACCCGCCCAACTACGTCCCCGCCACCCGCGACTTGATGCGCCGAACACGGGAGCCGACCTCCACGCTGCTTGCCATCCTCTCCATGGGGCTCCTCGGCCCGCACCAGCGCGACGCGACTAGAAAAGGCGCTCATCACCCACTCCTAGGCGGAGGCAGAGAGACGAACATGAACGAAGCGGCAGGACCTCGACCTCCTCCGGTTCAAGATCAACTACTACCCGAGGTGTCCACAATGAGCCGGCCATCGACGCCGAGGCCCACACGACGTCAAATAGCTTGCGCTCGTAGCTCATCCACATCCTTACGCTTCTCCCTGACCCGGTCGCGTCGTCTCTAGCCGTCGAAATCGACTGTACGTCGGAGTTTTGCCGCTGCTGTCCGTCATCGCCACCACAAGCATCTCCGCCGTGGCCAGCCCGCTACGAAGAGTTTGGTGGCGATGGATAGCGAGAGCAGCCACAGCACAAGCGGCACGCCCCACACCTTGGGCGCCCGCGCCGCGGGCACCGGCAACTGGATGCCTAGCGTGCCGACCGCCCACGCCGGCACCAGCACCACGTAGCCCTGCCACCGCTCTGGCGACGTGCCCCAATACGCTGTGGCGATGCCGATCGACGACGCGATGATGAGCAAGAAGCGGCGTCGTGAACCGCGCAGCGTCGCGTCCGGTCGTCACGCCCGCACGTAGTACCACCGGACGAAAGCAGCCGCCGTAATATCATCATGAAGATGAAGAGCGTCTTGACGGAGAGTAGGCTAGAGAAGAGGGCGACGCAAAGCGCCGCAGACGCAAATGAGCGCGATGGCGTGCACGGGGTGCCGGTCCTCGGTGCACCAGCCGCGAACATGGGCGGGATGATGTGGCTCCACGCGATGTGGGGTGGTGTAGCGCTCGCTTCCAGTACGCCCACCGAGCAATCGTACCCATCCCTTTGAGCGCGCCCAGCGCCACCACGCTTGCGCCAACAGTATCCCCACGTTGGCGAAACGCCACCGGTAGGCGGCGCTGCGGTCGATGGCGATGTCGGCTGCATCATGCTCAAAGACCAGCCGCCATGATGCGATAGATGGCCGTGATGAGCGGACATGGAGCCCAACAGGCCCGGCGGGATGTCCCGCGACGGGTTCTTGGTCTCCCTCGCCATGGTCGCGATGTTGTCGG